GAACATGTTAAGATACCAGGGGCTCTATTCTTGAAAAGAAACGTATACGAAAGTCTAGGGAAATACTATAGTATATATTAGAGTGGTATATATTAGAGTCCTAGATTTATCAGAGAGGCGCAACCGGCTTAAGTCAGTATGACAAAGGTGCTAAGGAGAGTATTAAACATGGCCGACATGCTATGAAACTGCCTTTAAACTATGCCAAACAAGATAAGACGTATAAGATAATGTGAGATAGAATGTATAAGATAAAATGAAATAGAAATATGTTACTGGTACTATAAATGGCTGCTAAGTCATGCAATTGATCAGATTGCAACATCAAATCAGAATGTATAACACCGGTTGAGCCTCTCTGATAAATATAGGACTCTAGCAAAATCCATCGGCATCCTGTTTTCTGATTGGTTGTGGAGCGTCGTACGACGCAAATCGGATGCAGTGTGAATCTAGCAATAGAGAATGGACTGCGCGATCCGTATCTAAAGGCCATTCTACGTTGGTCGTATCGTAGACGTCGCAAGTCACAAGCTTGTTGCTTCAACCAATCCGATGCTTCAATTTTAAAGTCGTATGATACTTACGACGCTACGATACGACCAATGTAGAATGGCCTCAAAGCCCAATGTCCACGATACTAGAAATATTAAAAAAGAGTTGTTTACAATTCTTTAAAATATTCCTCCCACTCCCTCATCTCTATTCCCTTATTTACTCCCTTCTACTTCTTCCTTTCCCTATTTACTATTTCCCATACTTGTTCCTCATTCTTCGCTCTCTCCACTTTTCTTTCCCACCTCTCATTCTCCTCTTTTTTCCCTCATAGTTCCTTTTATACACCCTTTTTTGTTTCCTGTACTCCTCCTCTCCGTTCTTATCTTTCCTCCATTCTCTTAATACCCTTCTTACCTCGACCTTCTTTTTTCTACACTCTCCATCCTATCATCCCCTTCCCTTCCTTTCTTTCCTTCTCTCCTTTCCTATGCTTCCCAATATCTCCCTGGGGTGATTCCGATTGATCACGGCTCGATTGGACACCACCAATCACAGCGACCGGTGCTTAGGAGCTTTGTAGTCTCAAGCGCTGTGAGTGAGTCGTGTTCAATTGAGCCGTGTCCAACTGGGTACCACCCCTCTCTATTTTCTCTATCGTCTCCTCATCCACCAATACGTAGTCAATCACTGAGTCCCCCCTTCCCTCTGTATATGTCCAATTTCCAATTTCGTTTCTCATCCCCTTTCACATTCCCATTTAATATCGACCATCCCTTCTCTCTTATAACTTCCACGGTGGCATCCAGTTGGACACGGCTCAATTGGACACGAGCCACTCATAGCGCTTGAGACTACAAAACTCTTAAGTACCGGTCGCTGTGATTGGTGGTGTCCAATCGAGCCGTGGTCAATCGGGATCACCCCACTTCCACTAACTTGTTTCTATCCTTGTTCTTCTTACTATCCATTGAACTTCTTTCCTCTTCCTCCTCACCCTCATTCTCTTCCCTTACCCTTCCTCCCTCTCTCCCTGTTCTCGCATTAAAATCCCCCCTAATCATTGTTTTTACCCCTTCCTCTTTTCTCTTCATCTATTCCTTTATATTCTCCGACTTACTTTCTAAATCCATATTAACATACACTCCCACTATCCTTAACCTATTCGCACCTACTCTCATCATTCCCGCCATCATCCCCTCTACTTCTTTCTTTCCCTCCACCCCCTTATAACAATCCCTTTTAATACTCATCAACAGTCCGCCCATTGCCCTTCCTTTTTTATTTCTCTTTTTCGCAGCCTGCATTCTCCATACATAACCCTCCGGACTTACCCCGGATCTACAATAGGTGTAGTACAGTAGTGTCTCAAAATACTCCTAGTGCTCAGTAGTACTTTTCTACAAGGGCATACAAAGGAAACATATAACAGCTCTCCACTGCACAACACTAAACTCTATTAGCGTTTTCGATTGGGGTGCACTGGTTGCACTCAGTGTCAAGAGCGTGTTCGATTGGCAGTGCCAATGAACACTTGGCTAGTGTCACGTGTTCATTTGATCGCACGACACTCGCGTAGTGCGCACTAATAGCGTATTCGATTACTGACTCGACCCGACTCTGATAGCGTTTTCGATTGGGCAAAAGTTAGTGCGCAC